GATAGATTTAGTTCCCTTGATGATGAAGCCATATGATTATACAGGCCACTATTCAATAATTTTTTAGATATTTGCAACCAAAGATTCATCATCGGTTTAATTCAGTTCTATTCAAAATGATTAATGTTGCTATGCATTAGGATCCAGGTTCAACTTTAGAGAAAGCGAATAATTTTTTTTCTTTCAAACCTTTTTTATTTTGTATGAATTTTTTACATATAAAGATACATAATAGAGTTTAAATAAATTGTAAATGAAATATCTTTATTTACTAGATACTTTACAAATATTTTGTTTGCTATTATTATCCATATAAGTAAGTAAGTTTCGTAAGTTTCCACTAAACTATTACATGGTAATCATTTCAAACAGAACTGAATTAAACCGATAATGAATTTTTGGTTGCAAATATTCACCTTCTTAGTTCCAAATATTATAGTTTCTGTATTAAATATTTAATGTCACTTTTATACATATTATAATGTTTACATACAATACATAATTTCCTTATACAGTATGAATTTATTTGGATAATATTCTTTTCAATTGAAACTTACCAAGTAAATGAAAATCAAAACTTTAATAATAAAGGTACATTAAAAACAAATTTTTTCTATTGAGTGATATGTTTAAACTTTTCTAGCCCATATGTATGTAATATATAGAATATATTGGTAATCTGTATAGAAATAACTGTTTAGGGAAAATTTGAATTTTTTGAAAGGAAAAGATTAATAATAATTAGTTCTTAAAAAGTTGAAACAGATAATTAATTTTAATGTATATATATTTTATGTTGTAAACTTTATTTTTTTTTCATATCTTTTATTTTATATTTCTGTTTATTTTGTAAAGAAAGTGAAAGAACTGCACATATGTTTAAAACTACATGAATTATTAAAGAAATAAAAGCTTTAATGGCATATATAACATAAACTTTCTTTTATTACTGTAATTTATAAAATGTTTTGAAGTATTTCTTTAATATTTAATACAAGACATTTCACATTGAATATTATAAATTATTTTCTCGTGAACAATAAAAATAATTTGTATAAAAATCTATAATATGTATTTAGAGTCATTGTATATGTAATAATTAAAGTAATAGTGCTTACATTTCTAAATTCAACAAAAGCTCTACTCATATTTATTAAATAATTTGGTTATTTTTTGGGGGAATCTTTTTATATATAGAATATTCATAGAAAATATAGTTTTTCTTTTACAATTGAATCAAAAGAATACTTTCTCAAACTCATAGAGAGATTAAATAAGAAAAATACTAAAATTAATATAGAATCATAACAAAATTATGTTTGTAAAAGCAAAGCAAATAAATTCTGCTTATATTTGTATTATAATTATAGAAAATGTACAATTGTTAATCCTTGCTAGAAGGTAATTTATGTATACATATATTTTTTTAGGCGGACTTTAAAATATTTCTTCATTCTTCTACTTAAAACATTATAATAATAACATATATTATATTAGTAGTTTATAATTGGACATTGTTACTATTTAGATTAATTATAGAATTTTAAGACTTTATGGACATGTCTTTAAAATACAATAACTTCTATTTTTAATTATTTTTTATATAGAAATTTTTATAGTAAATTTGTATATTAAGGATATATTACAGTCTCTGTTGTAATATTTTATAGTTTAAAAAGTATATCATCAATGGCATAAGGAAAAAAAATGTAGATAAGATATTTTTTATAAGATTGTTATACAGATCACTTTGAAAATTTGTACAAAAACGTAGTGTCCTATATGCCAGCTTTTTAACTATGATATTGATCGATGAAACAAATAAAGTATTATTTTGTAACAGTTTAAATTGATCACGAACGTGGATTTCGTGAAGTGTTTTTTTGTTTAATTTTTTTTCATAATTAAAAAAAGATATAGAATTATTAATTTCTAATATTATAATATAGTACTTTACCGGTTTAAATTCATAAATATATTATTCAAATATATTATATAATTCAGAAAATAATTGAAAATAATTCAAGAAGTTTAACTTTTATATTTGTATATACACGTTTAAAAAATTTTGTGTAAATTTTTATCTAAAATTTTGGGTTTACGAAAGCCGATTTCGAATATTAATATCCGTATAACAAATAGTAGAGTTTAATTATTCGGACTTAACTATTATTGATTAATTCTATCTATATTGTTCTTATAAATATTAAAAGTAGTATAGTTTTCATAATATAATAAATCGTTTTTCATATATTAATTGGTTTTTATTGTTACAAATACTGTCGAACGCGTTGTTATCGTTATTTTATACTTAGTATTGTTACTCTAAGAATTAATTTTTTTATGTTATTCAGACATTTTTAATTGTGTTTTGCAAATGATCTAAGATTCAATGTTAGTAGAATCAGAAAAGCGTAAACATAATCTAAAATGGTATGTAATATTTACACAAATTTTTTGTTTTAATTTTAAGTATAACCTGTTTTAACTGTAAAAGATTTTAAATATTTTCTATGAATTTTCTACTTCACATGTTCCTATAAGTAAAAATTAAACAATGTAATATTTGGAGAGCATTATGCAAGCGAATTATGGAAGTCAAAATACGATACTTTCATGGTTCAAAATGAGTGCTTATTTATAGCATTTTTAATAATTTTAACTAAATAATAAATTCTTTGATACGTAGATAATCATATTTTATTTTTATCGGAAATCAAATATTTTCTAAAATGATAACTTGTATCTTATGAAGTATAAATTCGATTGCATCCTTGTTCATATACAATAACAAAGGTGTTTTAACTATATTTATAAAAATCGTAACTGCGATTCGATGAATGTTCAAAGTCAATTTCTTTTATAATAATCTCGAACGAAAAACGTATCAGATACCTTTTCTGATTTTTTCATTTTCCTTTTAGTTGAAATTGCAAAAATTGAAAGTACATAACAGTAAATCAAATTTGTATGCGTTTTTTATATTTTGTATATTGCTTATGCATAATATATTATTATATAATATATTAAATGTATTATATATAATATAACATAAAATATACTAGGAAGAAATAGTTGATTATTTAATTTACAACATTATCGTCTACATGAAATACTGGCTTAATAAATTTAAAATAAATTACGAATAAATAAATTTTATTCGATTAATGTTAAGTAGAAGCCAAATAATATAAAGAATGAATGAATTTGAATAAAGTGACCTTTTTGTATACGGAAGTTCAATTTATATTGAATTAATTATTAGCTTTAATTTAACACGAGAAATCCTTCGAAAGAATCCAGTAAATATGTATATATGTACATATTAGAGATAAATTTTCGAACAAAATTCAATTTCCGTTACAAAATTATTTAGATCATATAACAGGACATTGAAAGCGAGTGCCGCCCTATACACATGTATACGCCTAGTCTGCTTTTCTTCTGACCGATTACCTTTCCCACGGCGGCTTACAGGAACATAACCGCGTTTATATTACAGTCTGTCGTGCGCATTTAGTCACAGGCGAGCGTGCACATACACGGGTAAACTTAACATACGGTTCGCTATGAGAAATTCTCATTGCGAGGGCGATTGTCTGTTGCAATCGTAAAACATCGGCACTGATCCAGTTTGAAAATCAAATGTGTGGAATCTCTATCTATGATTAGATCGATGAAATAATTTTTATTACGATACGCGCTTATTACGCGTTTGTTGCCATTCGAATCAAGTTTCGTTTAATTAGTGCAGACATATTTATGTAACTAAAAGTATTACCATCTTTGCAATTCTGATAGCGATTGTGTCTTTTTAATGTTTATATGTATGCCTTGAAAGTATGATATCTATATTATGGGAACAAAAACGATACAAGTTCATTACTAGATTAGGTTTATATGTACATGAATTTACAATGTTACACTTGACTTTGGCAATGTCAATTGCTATTAGAACGTTAATTTTCAAATACCTATAAAACCAAAGTTGTAATTACAAACCTTTTTATGTTATCTGATAACATGTTCAACAGAGGAACGCAATTAAAAATAACAGTTATGATGTATTCTAACCTTTTTGATCTACCCTACTTAGAATAACAATATACATAGATGCATGTAAGCATTATCTAATTGCATTGGTTTATAAATGTACTGCAAATATGTATAAATGTAATAATTTATATGCTGCTTTAATGCATGGTAAATATGATAATAAAGTTGAAATTATACGATAAATTATGATATTATATTTTATCAAATACATTTTTATCGATCAATTATTTTATTTTTTATTTAAAAACTTAATTTTTTTTATAAAATTTGATTTTTTATAATGTTATATTTAACTTTCATTTTATCGATTTATCTCTTTGTAACTATTCGTGAAATTAATATTATTTACTTTATTGATAGTACTTATTAATCTATTTATACATTTTTTAATTTCTAAGTTGTCATAAATGTATAAAGATAAATTACTTATAATAGCCACAAATATAGGTTTGTATAGCGAGCACGTTAACGTAATATTATGTATGTCCTAAATCTGGATGTATATAAATAGAACATGTGTCATTTCTTGTATTCATTGCCACGATTTGTTTTGTTTGTTGATTATATTCCAGTTTAGTCATATTTTCAAACGGTGGTCCAAGCTTGGTAACCTGGTGATTTGCTCTCGAATTTCTTACATTCACCGTATTGCGCTCACCTAAGCGTACGGAACGTCGTGCTTTCCTTTCGATCAACTTCTTTGCTATGTACCACGTATCTTATACCACTGCTTTATATGTATTTATATAAATTCTATAAATTATTCTTTAAAATGCTGTAAACAGATATAGTAAGAAAAAAGTAAATTACAAACATTTCTTGTTATTAATATTTCCAAACCCCTTTCGATCTTTTTCTTAATAATTGTTTTAATTAAAAAAAGTTTAAATGTCAATTTGTACATTTTAAATAATATTACATTATAATTATATTTATGAGCAATCATGACGTATATAATTAGTTAGCTTTTTAAATATTTAACGTGATTTTGCTATGTCTAACTTAATATAATATTTCAATACTAAAATATTAGCAATTTTATATTTTATCGATTACATGCATTAAAAATTTATTTTATTTGTATATTTTGTAAATAATTGCAATCGCTCTTTTATTTAACTTTTTCTCAAGAAACAATTTCAGTAGATACTAATTACTACTACATAATATAAAAATTGTCTAATATTTATTAGACAAATTAAAAAATATTAAAAATTATTATTTAAAAATATTTCAACATATTCGAATTTCAAAATATTTCAAAATATAACATAATATTTATGAATAGCGATTATAGTTTAACAATTATTATGCAATTTATTTGTTAATACTATTGTAAATAAATCGTTAAATTAAATATAAAATTTGATCGGTATTCAATAATTCTACTATTAAACTTTCTTTTTCACACTGTGCCTTTCGAATGATACGAATATGATGTTACTACAGATCAATATGAGCGATTTGACCTAGCAATATTGCTATTTGGGGTGTAACTCAATAGTAGTATAAATAACAATGTCGGTAAGATCGACGTACATTAATGTCTTTGTTTTCTGCATTTTGTGTACCCATGATGTGCACTTAGAAACAGTTCGTCGCGGAAAAGTGGTAACAACCCCACCTGGTTTGCTCGGGTGCGGCCTTTCCCCTTCGTCTATAAAGCCACTAGGAATCCACTTCTGCCGAACATTCACTCGGCGCTTCGTCACTCATTTGTTCACCATGTGGCTGCTTATCCTCGCAGGTGAGTGTGCTACAGCATGCTTTTCATGGAACAAGGACGAGTATTTTGGTGCTCATTCTGGCTTGTGACTATTATTGCGTTTTTGTGAAAACTATTTTAAAACTTCATTTAAAAAAAAAAAAAAGAAAGATAAGAAAAAAGAGAACAACACAGTGTATACGTGCTACGAGATCGATACTTAATTATGTGTGACTTTTATGATTTATCGGGTATTCAATTTGTCGGCTATACAATATATGTAAGTGCATTTGAAATTTTGGGGTGTGATAAAGAATTTTATTTAAAGAAACATTCAATAAATTTATTACCTTCAAAATTTGTTGTAGGTATAATTTGTATGTTCGTGATAAATGTATTTTATTTAAAAAATGTTCAGTAAATTTGTTTCAAAAATTGCACTTTAGATATTTTCATTGTAGGTATAGTTCGTAATTCTCACTGGGGTAAGATAACGAATATAAAATGTAATAAAATTATAGAAGTATTTTATAGAAATTTGTATCGGCGCCGTAATTTTCTTGCTTTTTGCATTACTTTCTATTATATGTAGGATGTAATATTTTTAACAAGTAGACAATTATTGTTTGCGCGTATGAAATATGTTCCTGCAAAGATAGATTTTATATCTGCATAATTTGTATTTTCAATTAATTGTTGAGGAAACGTTGCATCGAGCTATATCGATACAGACGGATCTTTAAAATTAAGAACATGCAGGAACACTTTCCTTGATTCCCCGGATAAACCGCGCACGTACAGTATTGCATTCGTATTAGAAACTTGCTTCTCAAACAACTTGGTTCACTTTCGCATTTCCAATTACACAAACATGCACGTTGTTCATCAGGAGAGATTAAAGCTTTATTTCCACTATATACTTTTCTTGCCACTTTTGAATAAATTCATTATTTCGAAATTTTATGAAAAATAGAGTAATTTGCATAAATATAACGTTTGTCATAAAAATTTGTTTGTGGCTATTGCTTATCGTGCTTGGAAATAGCATTAAAATATTTGTACAATTATGTATAGTTTATGGTAAAAATGCTGAATTTTTAAAGGATATAAGAAGACAAAGTAGGCTTACAAAACAAATTGAATTTAAATTTATAACATTATTTAAGTATTTGTTGACAAATTTCAGTATAATTATAAAAATCACGTGCAGCTATAGTATAACTGTAAATAATTAATTAGAGATTCTTGTTAGTCTCATTTAAAAATTCAACCTTTGCTTCTAGGAAAATGTTGTAATACATCATTTTAATTAAAAATATTCTAAGTTATCTATACATATTTGCAACAATTGTTTCATTATACTAAACTTTTATCACGTAGGGGTATACTTTCTCCGTCTACCGTAACATAATAATTGTACTGGTCGTTAGTGAAATCTGTTGTGGGAATAATTTAAAAAAGGAGATGACATTATTGTTATGCGTGTGAATCTAATTAACGAGTTCCAATGCATGTGAAAAATTCTTCTTTAAAACATTGAGGCGTATATTTGCTCTAAATTTTATTATTCTTGCATGATAAATTTAATAACGATAAATTAAATATTTCTTATGTAACCTGACATTACAATGTTAAATCAAATATATTGTAAAATATGTTCTCTATAAATGTAATAGTGACTTATTTTAATTTTATTATATAATCAATACGCATTTCATTAAAAAATTACAGATTAAATTGATTATATTAGGAATAGGTTTGTTTGCACCTCTATGGCTGTTGAACTACTTTTTATTAGAACGAATTATAGCTTCCGGTATATTTTATTGGCTTACTATATAATAATATTAGCATCTCTTTAACTAGTTTTTGAAAATTGTTATTAATATTTAAAATTTGTAAAGGATAAACGTGCAAAAATATGTGGACATCATTTAAAATCAGTACAACTCTTAGCACTAGGAAAACGGGTCACTTGTCCTAGAGGACCCACCACTTACTAGTTTCACATTATTTTCATTCAATCATTTAATGAATATAGTTGAATTATAATACCTGAAACATTAAATATTTTAACTTTAAAACTGGAACTTTATTATTTTTGTGATAAATTTAATTTAGAAATTGACTTGGCAAAATGAATGTGTCAAAAAGTGTAACTTTCTGAAATATAAAAGTTTTTAAATTACATATTATAGTATCAACAATAATCCAATGAGTAAGGGTGATTTTGTTTATGATTTACAAATTGTACGAATTTAAATTTATTTTTCATATTCTCTTTCATGTGACATATGATGTACAAGGAAGACAAAGAGTTAGAATATTAATTAATATTTCTCAATGATACGATACAAATTACAAATTTCTCATAATTACAAAGATGAATGTACATAAGGACCTAAGGATAAGAAGAAGGTCATAGAAAACGAAAATAATATCTGTTACACGTAAAATAAATGTTATTCTACAATATTTTGTACAATGATACGAAAACTCGATTGATCTTTTACTTTCACATTGAGATTTGTAGTTAATCATGTGAAAACGCATAATAATATCTTTTAAATCGCATTCACTAGTAAATGTCCGCCACCTTGCGTTTGAAGCAATCAATCATAATGACACTTTCTATTTCGATCACCCTATGAGAAATCATGTTGAAAAATGTAATAATAAATAAAATTGATTATTTTAATATAAATATTATAAGTAGCACTAATATAAATATTACAAAGGTATTAAATTATCCCACTTTATTCGGTAAACTATTACATATAATAATTACTATATTTTCTGAATTACTTTAAGGTAAATATTAAATACCGTTAAATAGCGTATATAAAAAAATATTAAACAATGTAACTAAAACTCCATGCAATATTGTGCATTTTGTAATAAGCAAATTTAAAAAAATATATTTTATATATTATAATAATATAGTTTGAATTAAATATAAATATCTTATATGTTAAAATTAAAACCAAATTAAAAGTGTTGATTTGTGAAAGTTGCTGATTATTTTATTTTGTATTTTATGTGCGTCGAGTGTCGAAAATGATTTAGTTAATATGAAAACAATAGACAGTTGTATAACACATAGCACGTGGAAGTGAATAGACATGAAGAAATAGATACCGATATTTCAATTTCTGGTCTGTTGGCATGGAGGGTAGAAACGACTACACATGTTCGAATGATTTAAAAGTATGATATTCCGATTTATTTTCTCAAATGTGTAATATCGGGTGTGTATACATCAAATGGTTCAAGATTCAAAATCACAGAGGTAATATCGTGCTCTTCTTTAATATTTTTAAATACATGTTTTTAATAAGAAGTTTTGAAATATTATTTTATAAAATCTAATTATGTATTTAAAGAAAGCTATCTGAAAATAAAAAGAATATTTGTTGGTAAAGTTAAGCTTGAAAAATTGATTTGTTTTTTCTCACATTTAACCGATATTTAAAAGCTTTCTTGAAACTATGTTTTGAAAAGAAGAATTTTTATGACTGAGTTTAATTATTTTTATTTGGAAGAAATCACAGTCTATTACTGTGTTAAATTATTTGAATAATTTTTTATTAAAAGAAATTTTGAGAGTGTAAAGTCGATTAGTCATTATAACGAGAGGTAAGGATGTACAAATTATCTTGGATAAAATGGTTTCATTGACTTTCTAATAAGTCATCGTTTGATTGCATTGACTTCCGGTAAAGGAAGCGAGATTTATGTAAGATGATTATTTTTTATTGCCATATATAGTTAGTATACATGTCTATAAATAAATCTTTAAGAACAATGAATATTAAACAACGATTAACATTAGAACTACCAAACTGGCAAAAATAATCGGTTTCAAATTTTATTTTAAAAATTATAGAAAACAGGTAATTGCTTTTAGCCAAATTAACGTTAACTTTTACATCAATTATAGATATACAATTATAGATATACAGGGCGAATTATATAATTTTGACTCGCCCTTGAAGTTACTTGTAAAATAAAAGAATATAAAAGAATCAGTTGTGGTATAAAAGAATATTTTAAATAAAACTTTTTTGGTATCAAGTAGAAGATATAATAATTAGCATTTTTTATTTTACTTTTTTATCGTGATGTGGTCACCTTGAATTTCTTAACTGTATCTAACATTTGGCTATTCGATTCGAAAGAGTTATTGAGTATTGAGGAATAGAGGAAAAACTACTGAGGACTATAGGGTCAAAGTCGATAATTAAAATTGACTATTATTAACTATAGTCCACGCATTACTGTTAAAAAACTGACCTTCATATCTTGACAAAGAAATGAAGTAACAAATAATTAATAACTAAATCATTTTTACTTGAAAACATTCTTTCATCTAAGGAATTTCAAATAACAGAGTTAAATGACTTACTCTGCGTATACGTATCTATTTTTATCTTCATGATACTATTGGAGTTATTATCTGTGTACTATATTTAGCTACACCTTAGAGGTCAATAATTCTAGTGTTAAATGAATATAATTTCATTGCCTATGCTCTTTTTCTAAGATTTTTTAATTAAGATTTTGTGATTATAGTACACGCCAAAATAATAGCACACTATAATTTTCAGTGTTGAGACCAATGCAATATACATAAATTTTACATATGTGTTCACATAAAATATCGTTTTTTTTTTTTAATAATATAGAAGGATATTAATTACAATTTTAATTGCAAACTTTTTTATAAATTTGACCTCTCTATACAAAAAGTGGTACAGCTGTAAAAAAAAGTAGATCAACGAGGTTTTGTTGTTTGAGAATGGAAAGATTTCTTATGTGTTTCTTTGTACTGAACCCTAATCTAGCTGCAAAAGTTGCCTCTCAAGTCAGGTAGGAAATAAATGAATAAAAAGTATGGATTCTTGTTATATTTATGAAAATATTTTTATTTCCATTATCTTTATTTTCAATATTTATTTCAACAGCATCGTATAGAACCAAGATTTTCCTGTAAAATAAAATTCGATTTATAATGATACGATATTTTGCTGTGAGATATACTT